TCGTTGTCCTTATCGGATGCGGGCTTGAGAATTGCGCGAAAACTATGCTAGCTGTCTTCAAAGTTGTTATAGGATCAGATGCTGACATTCAAGGAGTGGCTAAACGACGTCTTCCTGCACATACAATTTACGATTGGGGAAGAAAACAACCAGCTAGCCTTCCTGGATATCCTCGTTTGCCGCAAAGACGCTGGTGGCTTAAAAACTAAAGTGTTCAGGAAAATGACCAACACTATGGAATTCCTGAACTTCAACAGCAACCAACGCAGCTGCGTAAGAGCGCTATACCGGCGCGCTCAAACGCATTGCAGTGAGGAGGAAGACAAAATTGCTGAATTATGCGACATCTCTGACGACAGCGAGCATAATTTTCGCGAAATTATCAAGGCCGCATCCAACATGGACAACGAAACCGCGGCCATTAATGACTCAAAAACGAAATGTCAAGCCATCACCGTACCTATTAAGACCCCAAGCGGTGATTACAGGAGCTGATAATTATAGTACGCATACGGACGACCGCTATAAACTAAAATACCGCGCAATCTGTGCATGTGTCAACCCAATCTGCGCACGTATCACACTTTCCTACGGTTACCTACGACTGAGTGTTCTCGAAAGAATCCGAAACACCAGGAAAACAAAATTCCTGTTCCAGTGATCGCATCTCGTTTCTCCAAACTGCTTCCTGGAACTCGCATATTAGCTTCTATCGATAATGCACTTATTCGCATGACGTTTCAACACCCGTCGCTGATTCTTCACCAGAGGCATGAACAGAAAGCAGTAGCAGAAGCGGGTACCAGATGCACAGGTAGTTGCAGTATTTATAGGTCAAAGTGTTTACTGCACACTTATGACAAATAAAGACAATTAACGATAAATGCTCTCTTCTGTATTCATTGATTAACGGCATGTGGGCTCTGACTTGCTGAACTTTCATCACGCGTGGTGGAATTGCATGTGATGATTGCTCGGCCATCCGGTTCCCCGGTGCTGGCGTTAGACGACGTGGTGGCCTGTGCGTTCCCCAAGTGGCGCCTTGCTTTGACTTGATTGAGCCTCAGCAGCGAATATGGATTGGACAAGTCATTGCACTTGTTTATGGACTAGTGGGCCGTGAACCATGACTCAAGTAATTCTCGGCTCACACGATTGTGACCCCCTGCTAGAATTTCGGCCTCATCACATTTGAATGCGCGGCCGGGAAAGTGCTCGTCCCCGGACAGAAGTGAGTTGAAGAGGTGATCCCGGCTCTCAGCGCATTCAAAACAAACAGGCTTTCCTTATCCTGTCCTGTACGACACCTCACCGTATATATGGGCGTTGAACATGCTGGCATTCTGTTGTTTCTATGGCTATGCAAGCCGGATGCACTGCGGAGGGAGGTTAGTCGCTGTCCTGTTGGACGCCTCTTTTCTCCTTCGTCTCGTCGAAAGGTTTTGTCTGAATGGCAACTGTCATTCCTCCTGTTTGCAACGACCGATATTGTTGTCCCAGCCCCGTGTACCTCCCTCCCGTATCTCGTTTGCACCTGTCCGTAAGCGTCTTACCAGTGGTTGCTGAGTCGTTGCCGGTGTCTCGGTTCCTATTGGGACGGTGATCCCCGTGTTTCTGCGGTTAAGCCTGTCAGAAGGTCTTGGTGGTTTGCAGACCCCGCGGTTTCCCCTACGGCCGCACTGGTGTCCGATGTACGTTCACTCATGCGTTTTCGTTCGATATATATTTGCTTGCGATCGTGACCAGTCTGACCTTCTGCCTGCGCTTCTGTTTATTGAGCCGCACTCGTAAGGCCTAGTAAGCCATCGAGGGAATCGTATAGTGGCTGATAGAAGTTAGTGCGCCATAATTCGATTGTTTCTCTGGCTGTTTGGTCTGTGATTAGATCACTAACAGCCTATCTGACTTCATTGTTAAAAACTGAAACCAAATATACTTATGACCCAAAGCAGTAGGAATTCCAATAGAGGAGAATATCTGAGTTCCAGGAAGCAGTTCCGAATTTTCGGAACTGCTTTCTGGAAGTCGGATATTCTCCTCTATTGGAAATCTCTTTGGGCGCGATGCGCTCCGATCGGCTCGTCGGTGGGAAACATTTGCCCTTCAAGAGTCATCTACTTATGCGCAGATTCGATTCCTGCACAGGTGCCTCGACAAC